TTTTATGATACAAAATCTTGCCATTAAGATTAATGTTGAGATCAACTGATTATCAATTAATGCATCTTAATCCACTCATTTATGCTTGCGATTTTGATGGCTTTCATTATATTAATGAAATATTGATCATGAATACATTTGATAGTTTAGAAATTGAGAATAATCATTGACACTTGAAATATTTAACATTGATTTATATGCTGCAAATGCAAATGATTTTGTTTGAAGGGGGAAATGTATTAGGAGCGGCTTTTCCTCTTATGTTATAATGATTAGCTATGTATATTTTAACCTGTATTTTGAATAGTAAAAGATTTCGGGTGAAACAGTGAAAGACCTGAGAAAGGTCTTCGATTTGTGCAACAGGGCTTTACTTAGATAGCTTTAAAAGAGGATTAGCCAAATTATGGAAAAGAAGGCTACAGATTTACAGATCTGCGTTCTACCTCCACCGTCAGAGGCAGTGTGCTTCTGAAAACCAGTTGCCGGAAATTGCAGGCTAGGAAAGTGCTGTTGTGTTCAGGCTTCTGTAGGCCTCTAGTTGGCCACTATGAGTGCAGGATGCTGGAGTAGATGGGTAGTGACGCTAATGCAGCAGACCTTTTACCCTTCTTCTTCCCTTGCATGTCCTGCCCCGCCAACTGGCTGGGGGTGGAGCTGTCAGGAGAACCTTAAGAGCTGTCAGGCAGCAGAGGAACCAACCCCCACCTCAGGTTGCCAGGAATGGACAAGGGAAAAGTCCTTACCATCGACTTTTATTCAGTATTCAAAGAAAGAGGCTTGGGAATGTGGCCCTTCTGAATAATGGCGTTGCTCTGAGTGAGTCTCCACCCCCTCCCTCTCTCCTCTTCATGTGTCATCACTACAGGTGCTGAGCAGTGCCTTCTGCATCTGAGCTGTCTGCTCTCCTACTTTCAATGCTTGCCGGGTTCTGGGAGAGGGGGGTCTGGAATGCTTTCTAAAGACACTGTGTCCCTCTGGTGCTTTTTCTTCCTCCTCTCTCATTATTTCCCAGCTTTCCCCCTCATCTGCCCCTGAGCTGTGACCTCCCTCAAATCCTGTTGTGATTCCAAACTGTCTTCTTCTTCTATAGAAGGGTCAGGCTGGGGAGGCACAGTCTCCACCATTACTCCTCTGCCCAGTCCCTGACATTAGCAGTGCATAGAGGAATGAGAAGGGGTATCATTCCATCTGACAAGCTGGAATTTATGTGTAAACAGAATGGATGGAAGAGTGCTACACTGAATTCCACCCTCAAGTTTAATATCCAGTGTGGTGTAATGGTTAAGAGTGGTAGACTCGTAATCTGGTGAACCGGGTTCGCATCTCCGCTCCTCCACATGCAGCTGCTGGGTGCTTGGGCTAGTCACACTTCTTTGAAGACTCTCAGCCCCACTCACCTCACAGAGTGTTTGTTGTGAGGGAGGAAGGGAAAGGAGAATGTTAGCCGCTTTGAGACTCCTTCGGGTAGTGATAAAGCGGGATAGCAAATCCAAACTCTTCTTCTTCTTCTATCCTATAGAATACATATTCAATAGTATCTCTAATTTGTTGTTTATTTTTCATTTACTTTAAATACCTGTATGCTATATGCAAGTCACCGTGAAAATGTGTGTTCAGGAATTAGAAGTATGTCATTCAGTGTATCATCACCACAAATTTTATATATATTATTTACATGATAAAAGACTTCTAAAAATACAGTATTGCTCTTGGCCTTTAGCTTTTGAGTATAGGATGGGGCAAAATCTACACACTGTACATGCATAAATAATACTACCTCAGAATTTAATTTAAAGGAAAGTCTTTCACAGATTAAATTCAATGCACACTTACTTGAAAGTAAGTTTGGTTATAATTTGTGGACTTGCTTCCAAGTGAACATGTGTAGGATTGGACTGCATACATTCTGTGGAGTTATTACCCAAAGTTCTTGTTAAGGTACAAGTCAATATGCCATATTTCTACTCAGAAATAAGCTGCATTATGTTCAGTGGCACTTAACTTCCAGGTAAGTTTGTATAGATCTGCAGCCTTCAGTCATGAGTGCCGAAATCATGCCATTAATATCAACTGGGTGGTGGCAGTTAAGGTAAAACGATGCAGTAATATATATGAAAAACCATCAAGATCTTAAATATTAATGGCATGCAAATCATACTATGAAAATTGTTCCATGGCACATATTTAGGGCGATGCAATTTTAAAAGAAATTCTTAATGTTATTGTAATACATTAAAAGCCTGCTTCTATATATACTAACACAGGAGTTCAGGAAATCCATCCGTCCCATAATATTTTTTCTGTTCCCTTCTGGATTGGTTAGGGCTGATCTCAGCAGTGTCAGTAATTATTATTCTGATGACTTGCCCCTGAAAGGCACTAGCTTGTACCTGTGGGGACAGCAAATCCATTTGCCTGGCGCCGGGGAGTCGGAGGCACAGGCTGGCGCCAGAGAAGAGAAGGGAAAGATGATTAATATGTCTTATAGATTCACTGCCTCTTCACTTGTCCTAGACCTGCCAGTAATTCCACTCCCCTGTGGTTCCACCTTGATCACAGATAATGGAGGCAGATTGAAAGTTTGAAGACAGAAGCCTCTCTCTTTTCCTGAACTGACATTACTCACCCAGGCTAAATGAGCTGTACAGCCACCTGCACCTGCCTATGGGAAGGCATCTCAGCACACTTCACAGTAATGCTACAATAAAGCAGCAACTGCACTCTAATTAAACAGTGTTTTCTTTTTCCCCCCCTTTTGAAACTGGATAGCAGGCTGCCATTAGCAAACATATGATAATGCCACAGAGAAAAGTAACTTAGGGTGACTGGGTTTCCCCCCTGTTTTTCTTTTTAACCTTTCTCATTTCTTTCTACCTTTCTCTGGCAATGATATTCTTCAAGGTTATTTTGAAGCAGTGCTGTAGTTATTACATATTTAAAGATACAAGTGGCAACTATAAATAAAACAGTAGAAGAAAACGTTATTTAAGTATGCCAATAGTTATGTCCTTATAAAGATAAGAATTTGTTTTTGAAAAAAAGTTTGACTGAAGCAGATCTCAGTCAATACATCAAAGACAAATAGTCTTGGGACTCACTTTGTAAAACAAATCTTAACAGCCACTCTGAGCATATAAATTAAGATGATATGAAACAAGGCAAGAAAGTGCTATTTACTTGTTATTTATTGTGTGTAAAAGGAAAACAGTGTATGTGAATGCAACAATAGACACAGAATGGTAAAATATCTATTTTGCATCTATCAGTGAACCACCTTAAAGGAAAAATAAGCTTTAAAGGAACAGAAAACTGTTCTGAATGCTGAGTCAGACCACTGGTCTGCGTAGCTGAGTAGTGCCTGCACTGATTGACTGATGTTATCCAGGGTCTCAGGCAGGGCTGTCTTTCCCAGCCCTCCCTGAAGATGTGACACGGGATACAATGACTACCCCGGGTTGTGTCCAATGCTAGTCAACAGGTGCAGCTTTCCCCTTAATTGTACTTTTATTCTTGAAAAGGCTTACTCCACTGGGTTGCTCTACCCCCCATGCCAACCACAAACCATGTAAAGAACGAAAAGCAACAACAGCACATTAAGAATAAAAACAACAATTGGGCAACTCTCTTGTGTGGATCAGGGTAGGGGTGGGAGCCTAACTTTGGGGTCCAATGGGGATGGGGAGCGTGTTACTCTGGCTTGCTCCTGGCTCAGGACCCCTGTCTCCTTCCCTGCCATTTCCTAGCTGGGCATTTCTCCCCCTCCTTTCCCTCATCTCCTCCCTCCCCCTTGAGATAGAGCAGGGGTCAGGAAACTTTTTCAGCAGGGGGCCGGTCTACTGTCCCTCAGACCTTGTGGGGGGCCAGACTATATTTTGAAGAGAAAAAAAATGAACGAATTCATATGCCCCACAAATAGCCCAGAGATGCATTTTAAATAAAAGGACACATTCAACAATGTAAAAACATGCTGAGTCCTAGACCGTCCACAGGCCAGATTTAGAAGGCGATTGGGCCGGATCTGGCCCATGGGCCTTAGTTTGCCTACCCATGAGATAGAGGATAGAGGGCAGGACAGGAAGGCAGATCAGATATCTCCCTCCTTCCCCTTCTCTCTGAACCCTTCCAAGGCCAAGCAGCATCTTTACTGTCCTCCAGGCAGGAGCTCAGGGAGGGAAAACTTGGATCGGCATGATGCCAGTGGGGGCAGGTCCTTATTTGGGGGAGGGGAAACTCTGAAATTTATCTACTATGATGCAGACAAAGGGATCAAGTCTGGGGTTTTTGTTCTTCTTTTTTGCCACCCTTTCTTTCTGCAACTTTCCTTCTCTGCCACCCACTTTCCCCCTCCCTTTTTCTCTCTGCCACCCCCTTTACACCTCCCTCTTTGCAGGTTCCTTCTTCCCCCTCTTGCTCCTCCCCCCTCCACTCACACTGATGCTACTGTAATGCACACAAACACAAACTCCTCCTCCTCTTTTAAATATATGTCATAGCAATCCTCCATAACTTATTGACACACTGGAATGTCAACTGAAAACTGCCCTTCCTTCTTTTGCCCCCCTTCCTGCCCCACCCCCCTGATCCAAATAGCACTATAACATTTATTTTCCTGGCTGAGTAGAATCTTGAACAAGAGCACTCCTAGTATTCCACTTGGAGTTTAATCCTAATTTGCTTTTACGTTTATTAAGTTGCTTCATATATGATAAGGCCTGGTTGGGGCAAGAGGTCTCATTAAATTCAGGTTGCATATTTTAGATGATATTAATTATTTTAGTGAGTGGTTGTTGATTTCGGCTGAAGTGAAAAGTAAAGAGCAACTGCTGAGTTATTTGGAACATAATAAAAGCACTAGGAAAATACAACATTTGGAAATCAAGTCAGCTGATGAGATAGAACGGTGGGGGGTGGGATAAATGTATGTTGTGCAAAGATATTAAATCACAAATTTCTGTACCTGACTCAGAAATGAATAACTGTGTTCTATTTTTGAAATAAGGTATGATTGCAATAAAGGCCAAGCTGCCTATGCTGAGTGTCATGTTTGAAGCTCAAGGAAGCATAAATCCCCAACTGTTGTGAATAAAGGTAGATTTTGAAGGTCAGGACCTTCTGTGTATTTGGCAATTAAATCAACCTTTTGAACTTCATTGTCCCTCCATACTGTTTCTGCTACAGCACTCATGGTCTGGAACTGAGGGTGATAACAGGTGTAACAGCAAATGTGTGTTAAAACCACACCTAACACTGTTAAATTGTGGTCTTTACCAGAGAAAACAATTTATTTATTTATTTATTTAGCATAGTAGCTTAATATCTAAGAGACAGCTAACTTTCACACTCTTTCTGTCCATACGTTTTATGGAGAAGGGGAACATATGGCCTGTCTCCCCTACGCATTAGGAGATGAATATTAAAACTGAAAATGTAAGCTGTTTCAAGTCATAGCCTTTCATAATATAAGGTTTTTTGTTTTAAATTCCTTGCTGGTATAATGTGTGTGTTCTCTCTCTCTTTCTGTGTGTGTTTAGTGTATTTGGCTGTTACATTCTAGAGTGGTGACATTTATGGGAAGTGAATCTATTAAATTCTTTATAATGAATAGCATGTAACAGTGAAACATATACGTTTTACTCATTTTACCTTCCTCTGGGAGACTAAGGCAACATTTTGGCAAGTAGGAGTAAACAGCTTTGTGTTGGCATGCAGTAAATTAAACCGAGTAATTAAAATCAATAGCAAAACAGTAGCTAGGCAGAAAGGTCATATAGCACAGCAGAAAATGTTGGGTAGCATATTGCTCCAAAATCAAAATAAATTCCTCAACTTTTAATTTTTCTTTACATGTCTAAAATAATTCTTAATATTCATGAGGGAAATTGACACATCACAGGGCTTCCTTTCTAAATCCACACTGCCCATATGAGTGCCCTTTCTGTGGTGGCACCCTGGTTTTGAGTAGTATCACTATAGATGACTTGTGTAGTAACCAGCGTTGTAGCTAGCCACTCGGGTGCCCAGTGTGTGCGCGTCCTGCAGCCAGGGGTAGGGCAAACTACCCATGGGGGTGGGGCAAGCTGCCCATGGGGGCGGGGCGAGCCAACGCAGGGTGCGCTGTGTGGAGCCTCTCCGCAGCCTCCCCCTCAGATATAGGGTGGCTGAGGCGGTGGGCAGATGCAAGCCCCACGCTGCTTGAAAAAGCAGCTGACTCCGAGTATATTTCAGCGCAGAGCTTGCAGGCAGCCCGCCTGCTACCTCCCCTCAGGAGAGACGCATGGCTCAGGCACGCTGCAGGTGTGGTGCCTGCTGCCTCACCTAGCTACCAGTGATGTAGGAAGGGGGGGTACATTGGGTGCGGGGTTATTTTTTAAAAAAAGTGTCATGAGCCCATTTTTTTTTTTAACCTTTAAAACACATATTTTTGCCATTTTGTCACCCCCCTCAGTGATAACACCCGGGGCGATCCGCACCCACCACACCTCTATTCCTACACCACTGGTGGTAAACACTTGTCTTTTCAGTGTCAGATGAAGGCCTTTTTCTTTTCAGATAAAATCTTTTGTTGATGGTTTTATCTGAAACCTGCAGAAGGGGCTTCCATCCTGCCAGTTCCATCAAATTCAGGATTACCAATGATGTGCTTTACAGGGAGCTGGATTTAGGTACTGGGCCTATTGGCAGACCAACTCTACTTTCTAAAAATGTCTGCAAACATAACATGAAGGCTGGAAACATTAACCCTTCTGCGTGGGAATCCTCACCTGGAGACAGTCAGGTTGTGTATCCACAGCAGTGACCAGAGGAGAATTGACTGCTGGGAGGAGCACAGAGAGAAGAAACACCATGATGCACCTATAGCATCAAAACAGGATGCCTTCATCTGCCCCAATTGCAACAAAACATGTCTCTCCCATATTGGTCTCCACAGCCACAGCGGATGCTGTAACTCTCCAACAGTTTGACTTTAGCCCTGATGGCACACTCTTCCCTTGTCTCTCCAAAGAGGCGGATGCCAACATGGGACAGCAAAGAAAGCAACTAGAGTACTGCATTATAAACCTGTGTAGCCATCATTGAAATTCCATCTTGGTAGTTAGCACAGAAAATATTTCAACAAAATCTTGTCACAATACAAGACTGAGAGAACATTTGATATACACAGTGTAGCCCACAACAGCAACAAATATGGAACTTTGTATGGTGTTGGAAGCTTTCACATACATATATTACAGCCCACATTTTAGACATTTGTATATTTAACTTGATAGCTGCATGAATTATACATCAGGTACTTTCTCAAACATTTTATGTAAGTGTATTGACAAATGTCCTTTAGTTCTTGATGAGATGCATGGTAGTGTTGCAACATTTTAAGACAATTTGCTTATAAGTTTTCTCCCATATGCTGCTTTTCCTTGATTACATCTGCCTCTTTATTTGGTTAAACAAAAACAGCTATGGATCTTTCCCACAATCCCACAGAACAATATTGAAATGCTCTCTTTACTACTCATAGAATTGCTGTATTGGTACAGTTCGGAAACGGGCCAGCAGGATGCATATGGTCCTTGAAAAGCTCGTTTTCAACCCATAGAATGTCAGCTTCTGAGTGAGACTGATTTCGTTCCATTTTCTGAGGATCCAAAGATAGGCCAGCAGAAGAAATTCTGCTGAGGTTTTGCAAAGCGCTGCACAAGAGCTAGCAGAATACTTTGCACAGCATAGACTTAGCACAAATCCATATACTGAGACATGGTGGAAGAACCTCTGCATGCCTTTTGACTTGCAGAAGAGGCCATCCCCTTTCCTGCCCTCAACCCCTGGGCAACCAGTGGAATGGGAAAAGCTCACATCAGGTGTCACAGAGCATGCTGGTCAGCAATCACACAGTTCAGAGTGGGAGTTAACTATTTGCAAAAACACAGTCTCCACAGTCTTGACCGTCAGGCCTAATGAGCACAGCAGGTCCTGCTCCATGAAATCAGTTGCCGAGATTGAAAGTCTCCACCTCCCCATAGGCATTTAAGTCCCCTCCTCTCCAGGGCTTCCCCTACGCAGTTGGAGAGAGACTTCGCCTGCATGCAGCCTATTGCTGCTCTGCTTGTTTCTGGGTAATGGGAGGGGAAGGGGAGCTTGTTGCAGCAGGAGGGGGAGACACCCATGACACTTCACCATCTCTGCCTCTTGGCCTTCCTCCCCCAATCACCTACTTCAGCTTCTGCCTCTTATTCTGGACTTATGTCTGCCATAGACCATCTCAGCTTGCTAAACCCTGTTACCTCTTCAGCTTCTGACACCTCCTCTTCCCCTTCTCCCTCTGACCACTCATCATTTTCCCACCACCACTGCCTGGGCTCTGAGCCTTCTTCCCTTGGTGGTTCCCCAGCTTCTACCTCCCACAGTCATCCACGTCCAACCATCAGGTTGCCAAGGAACGACAAGGGCGACAAATGCAGTGCTGAGTTGAAAGAGGTCACAATCTTGTTGTTTCCAGGTTCCATGGAATTTGGCATACAGCATGTAGGAATACTGCATTGTAGTTGACAATCGAACTGCTTATAGGGGGCACTAAACTGACTCTTCCTGCTGGGTAACCCTGGGCATTTATGCTGTGGGGTATTGCAAGGTTCCATTGTATTCCTCATACTTTTTTTTTGTATTCCTCATACTTTTAAACATCTATATAAAGCCATTGGGAGAGATCATCTGAGATCTGGAATGAGGCTCTCAGTTAAGAATTTAAGAAGAGCCTGCAGGATTATGCCAGTGGTCTATTTAGTCCAGCATCCTGTTTTCACAGTGGCCAACCAGATCTGTATAGGAAAGCCTGAGTAAGACCTGAGTACAAGAGCATGCTGCCACTTGTGATTCTTAGCAAGTGTTATTCACTGCCTATGGCAGTGGAGGCAGAACATAGTCATCATGGCTAGTAGTCCATGATAGCCGTATCCCCCATGAATTTGCCTAATCCTCTTTTAAAGGCATCCAAGTTGGTGGTCTTCACTACTTCTTGTGGCGCTAACTCCATAGTTTAATTGTACACTGTGTGAAAGAAGTACTTTTTTGTCAGTTCTGAATCTTCCAGCAGTCAACTTTATTGGATATTCCTGAGTTCTAGTGTTACAAGAGAGGGTGAAACTTTCCTCTGTTAACTTTCTCAACAACATGAATAATTTCATACATCTCGTATGCCTTCTCTTACACACTTCCCCCCCTAAACTAATGCCCCCTGCCATTGTTGCAATGTTATAAGGGTGTTGCTCCACCTTGCTTTATAATTTTGCTTGCTCTTTTATGAACTGCTTCCAGTTCTACAGTAGCGCTGGCATGGCTGGCAACCAGTGCCTATAGTATTGTTGGGTCTCTGGACCGTAATAAAGATTGATGATAGTATTCTGTCCTAGTTAGTACTCACAGTTCATTGAGACTACTTAAAGGGTTCTAAGAACTATGTAAATAATACTGCTCCTGCTTACTCCTGCGTGGAGCTTTGCCCATATTAAAACTCTAGGCACAGGCTGCAGAGGAGTAATTTTCATCTTGGTAGCCCTGCTCCTTAGCTATCCAGTTCTAAGACGATTGGCTGGGTGCAGTGGGCCTCTCCAGCTGCAGGCAGAACCAGCCACAAGCCCTACAGCAAAGTAAATATATGAAGACACTGAGTGAGCATGCTAACTTCTAAGTATTTGCCATTTGAGGCCTGAATATATAGAGCAATGTTTAAACATTAACAAATAACAAGTTTCTCATGTAAATGCTCTTTCTAATCAAGATCCTTTGCTAGTAACAGAGAACTGTTAATTGTAGTGGGAGTAAGATTTGACCATAACTCTGGGAGACAAATAAAAAATGTATGTTAAGTACAATGCAGGGCAATTCTTGTTTAACTAAAAAGCCCATGGGAACATCCAAATTGAAAAGTGAGAGTAAGTTAAGAGAATGGCAGGTAATTGCATCCCCGTCTCCCTCTGCAATGTTTTATCACTGTATGAAAGGGAATCTGATGGAGCGAGAGATTGTTTTACATGCTAGAGGGAAATGTGAATCTGTAAAACAGGATGCATCAGTAAATATTCATGCAACATCTTTGCTTTTGTGAAGCTGTTAATACAGAAGAAAATCTCCCTTCTAAACTGTTGTGCTCTTGTTTTACAAATTACCAACCTCTTGATGTTAATGGGCAGAGATGGGGGGGCGGTTATTATGCAGTGTAAGTACCTCTTTGTCACCCTCCACTGACAGAGAATATATTGGTGGTAGAGGTTGTTCTATGCTGTGATGACGGTCCAAGCTGCACCCAATCAGGTGGGTAGCTATCACTGGTGGTCCTTTTGTCAGCAGTAGCCCTGAAGTGGTGTGGTACTGTGTGGCAGGTGAGGGCAGCTGGATACACTTGCTCCAGGCCTCAGAGGGCTAAACTGGCTCCACCAGAGACAGGCTGTTTTTTGTTGTTGTTGTTGTTGTTTTGCATTTAACACTATATTCTAACAAGACATCTGCCTTGGGCCTCAGACAAACTCTGCATGGGCCTAAGTTGTACCAACGAATCCAGAGCTCTGTTGATCCTCCAAGAGACCCAATTCTCAGGTCCCTCGGCTGTGTCAGTCCTATTGCTGGTGCAGTAAGAAGCAACAAAAAAACCACCACCACACCTTCTGTCCTGACTGGAAGGAGCTAGCAGGGTTTTAAATACAGTGGTGATTCTGCTACTCTCATATTCCCTCATCCAGTTACGATTGTTCTGCTCCATTTTGTTTAAAATCTTTGCAATCTTTTGGTACCAGGTTATAGGGCAGCATACAAATGTCATAAACATCATATCCGGTTAATACCACATCTACCAGTTTGAAGAGCAATGCAAAATTATCATTACGGACAATTTAGACTGGAATTCTAAACACACACAAACTGTGGTCATTTGTTTGCTCGGGGGTACTTTTTACCTTTGCTAGAGGATAGTGTTCACTCAGGTTATTTGTGAACCATATTCTACTCTAGATCAGTGTTTCACAGATTTGGATCTCCAGCTGTTTTTTTGGACTACAACTCCCATCATCCCTGATCTAGAGTCCCAAGTCTATGAAAGCTGCTCTAGTTGAAGGGAACTGGAGGGGGGGGGACCAAGAATCAGAGCTGTCTGAAAGACACCCCCCATCACTTATAGTTTTGTCATTTTGTCCCATTTCAGTACAGTGGTACCTCGGGTTAAGTACTTAATTCGTTCCGGAGGTCCGTTCTTAACCTGAAACTGTTCTTAACCTGAAGCACCACTTTAGCTAATGGGCCTCCTGCTGCTGCCGCACCGCCAGAGCACGATTTCTGTTCTCATCCTGAAGCAAAGTTCTTAACCTGAAGCACTATTTCTGAGTTAGCGGAGTCTGTAACCTGAAGCGTATGTAACCTGAAGCGTATGTAACCGAGGTACCACTGTATACCCTTTCATTTTGCATTGCTTTCAATGGGAGACCCAGCTGCATTTCTGCTGTCTATACTTCTGCATGAATTTTTCAAATCAGCATGAATTTTTCAGGCATTCTTGTTCCTCCTAGGAATTATACTTGCCAAATTTCAAATCAATAGGGAAAAGGGGTCCGTTTTAAAGCAGTGTTCAGATCAGTGTAACTAATAAATCAGAGTTGATCAGAGTAACTAATATTGCTCTCTCAAGTACGAACTACAAGTAATTAACTAAAGGGAATGTGAAAGTTAGGCTAGCACAAAGTGGAATGATTTGAAAATGCTTAAATAAATGCAAGAAGCATTTGAGTGTGAACTCTTCTTTCACAAAGACAAAAAGCAGATGAGAGAAACCTGTAAACGCTCACTCTCCAAGGAGAAAGAGTTCACAGAAATCTAAGCCAACCTCCTCACCTCTTGTTTATACTTTCCCAAGTTCTCCCCCTCTCACAACTGTGATTTGAGGTTTCCATATGGAAATAAGGTATATCAGAATGTTGGACACTTGTTAAAATGTGTTCCAAATTACATTGTTAATCTTCCTTTCCCCAAATATGCTTTCTCCCCAGTCCCTGTATAATGGATTCATCTGACCTATTCTTGACGAGGGGATGACTTAGAATGAGTATAAAATGAGCAATGAATGAATATATGGCATTAAATAATCATAGAATACATCCAATTGTGCACCACCAGAAAGAGGTATTGGTCAGCGTGTTCATCTGCAGAACATCTGGGGTCAATGGAAGTCATGGGAGTGGCAGGGATACAGTTCAGCAAGGGCTACAAGATGGTAGGGGGTTTACAGAGTCCAATGTCTTACTGAGAATCTAAAAAAAATATATGCATGTGCTGTCAGAAAATCATTTCTTGGGAAAAGAAAGTGGTGAGAATTCAAAGCTCTTAAACACAGAGAAACATATTGTAAATGTTTTCTATTGAGATTATGTAGTTTAGTTTATTCTGAAAGTGCATCTGAAAATGTTTGCCCACTTGAACCACACATTCCACAGTAAAAATAAAAATCAACGAATATATGCAATACTATTATAAACCCAAAGAAGACTCAACAAATTCTGTTTGATATTCTGTCTACATCATATTTGTATTGCAGCTACTTTAATTTCATATTAATAACTTATGTTGTGACCAAACAACAGCAAAAACCCATTATGTTTGTAGTTTGGATGCAGATGTGTGTGAAAACAGCATCTGAAATTCAGACATCACCAAATTACTGCTGTAGTTTTTTGCATTCTTGGGAGGTTTTTAAAGTTAGTCTTGTGTGCAAGATATGCCACCCAAGAGTACCCTAAATGAAGTTCACATGGATTTTTAAAATTATTTCTGCAGAAAGGAGGGGAATGGGAATAGATGAACAGATGGGAAAGGGAGATGGGAAATAGAGGAAAAGTCTAGTTGGCTAATTGAAGCTAAGAGGCTATTAAAGCTGACCGTGTGATCTACTGACAATGTACCATAGAGACTGGGGTGCGAGATTGAGGCTGGTTTCTTGTTCCCAGGCTGCTATGGACTGCAAAAAATAAAGTCAAAACATTCTATACCATAATGATAAGTTCTAGTCAATTAGACTGAGAACTGAAGAATAACATAAAGTGAAAGGACTAAAGGAGGAAAGGAGAAGGAATCTTCTCTTACCCTTACATGCAATCCTCACAGAACTGGATTCATCCATTGTAGGGACTCATGTCTCCATCTCAACCTGGCAACATGCTCAAATGAATTTCTCAGACTGGAGGAATGCTAGGCTCCAAGCCAGAGATTTTACCCTTTATGTCTTTTATTCCTCAAGGAAGAGGTAGAGCCTTGGGGCGGGGGGTGAATTTGTTTTCAGAAGCATAAAAGTGGCTTGTTTTGCCCGATCCTGCACTGTACATATAACACATTCATATTATTCCTAAACAAACAAACAAACAAACAAAAAAGAGCTTTTAGCAGGTGCCAGAAACAGCACAGTGAAAGCAGTAAGTTTCAAAGTGTAGATGCTGCCACGCTGAAGGATTGATCCATTACAAGTGTGGAATGGATGTTGTATGGCACTTGTACTAGTTCTGCAGACGAAACTGGTCAAGCAGCCATGTATGGGGTAATGTGGTTAGACCACACCTGGAATACTGTGTCCAGTTCTGGGCACCACAATTTAAGAAGGATATTGACAAGCTGGAGCATCTGCAGAGGTGGGAGAGGAAGGTGATAAAGGGTCTGGAAACCAAGCCTTATGAAGAACAGTTGAAGGAATTGGGCTTAGTAAGGGGAGACTAAGAGGAGATATGATAGGCACCTTCAGATATCTAAACGGCTGTTGCATGGAGGATGGAGCAAGATTGTTTTCTCCTGCTCTAGAGGTTGGGACCTGAACCAATGGCTTCAAGTTACAAGAAAGGAGATTCCAACTAAACATCAGGAAAAACTTTATGGCACTAATAGCTGATCGACAGTGGAACAGACTCCTGTGAGAGGCGGTAGAGCTATAAGCAGAGGCTGGATGTCCTTCTGTCATGTATCATCTTGCAGTTGAGATTCCAGCATTCCAAGGGGTTCAACTATATGTCCCTTGGGATCCCTTCCAACTCTATCATTCTACAATTCTATGAGACTGAATTGTGTTTTGAGAGGTTGTTTATAAGTCAGCTTGGCAGGTAAAGAAGCACTGTCTTTGCAGTGTGTGTTTCCCCCTTTTCCTAATTAGCACACAATGTACATTGCATTATTCCAGTTACCAAGAAATCTGTGTACAGCATATGCTTTGGGTGCATAAGGTCCCAGGTTCAGTCCCCAGCATCTCAAGGAAGGGTAGGGTGTTGCCTGGCACTCTGGAGTGCCGGTTTCTTAACTTTTAACTAAAACACTGAAGGTTATGATATTTCATTTTATTTTTCTTCTGTGCAGAGAGAAACAGCCAGATGTTCTAAAAGGTATAAAAGCTATGGGGACTGCAATCAGGTGGTTAAAGAGGAGATATATATGCAGAAGTGTTTCTAATTAATTGCATCTAGAATAAAAGCAGTTATATCACAGTATCTGAAACTGCTTTGGAAAATGGTTTCAAAATGTTTTTGTGGTTACCCTTCCCCCTGGTAAGGGCTGTTCAGTTCCCCTTCTTAACCCTAAACCCCCTCCTTAACCCAGTGTTAGGTAAAGTGTTGGTCAGCGTCATGTTTCCATTTCTAGAAGGAAACAAGAGCAATGTTGATCGAAGGCTGCCATCCCTCGAGTGACTTCAAGGCAGCAGTCCCAAGTGAGGGAAGGCCAATTTATTTATTTATTTTGTGACCACTCACGTAAATGTGGTCATGCATGAGTGGAATGCATGTAATGGTGTCTGTACATCTTATGGTTAAAATCTGTTCAGGGGATAGTAGCGTTGCTTGTCTAGACAGGAAATTGCTGCTTCCAAACATTTTACACCTTGCCCCTCAATGTCCTCCATCAGGAACTTGTGTACAAGCTTTCCCATCAGTTTGTGCGACTGGTTTGTGCATGTGTGTTTTGAAATCCAAACAGCCAACGCTTGTTAGGAATACCAAACGTTGTTTCAGTATCATGCTGAAGCCAATGGAGTGGGAGATGATGGCTGTTGCTATGAATGGACTTTGGACATATTTTTATCAAATCGCCATTCAGAAGTTTAGTTAGTTTGACAGTGCACATAAGTATTAGTTAGCAATGTACATTTGTCGTCCTAACTAAGGCTCTTGGAGGATATATGTAACTGGAAATATGCTCCAGTATGGCTTCCTCACTTTAGCTGTCACGTACTGCATGGCCTATAGCATAAAAGGGTGGAGCATTTCTGCAGATCTGTGATAAGATATATGTTTCCCCCTCTCTATTTAGAAATGCAGCTAAATTTCACATTCTGAATCTGTTCCTGCCAGGCCTAGGTCACATTAGTATTCTACTGGCAGCTGCCTATAGGTAGTAATATTGTTTTGTCCATAACCAGAGGGAACAATCAGACTCAGCCATTCTCCGGCTATAAACCAGCCAAAGTAATTGGGTTTAATTTTAATTTTTGTAATAGCTTTAAATTAATAGAAGCAGCTGCTGCTACAGTGTGTGGGTGTCCTTTTCCAGCAGGCGTAGAACAAAAAGAGGGAAAGACTAAACAATGGTATGTCTAGGACACAGAGGTTAATGCAAGAACTGAGCAATGTCTTTTTCTTATCAAAACCCCCGATTGGCCATATCTAGCACCTTGTCTCTTGTGCTCCTCTGTCTCTCTCCCTTCCTCCCTTTTTAATTCCCAGATAAAATCTAATCTGATTAGGCTCCTGTATGTAAAGATGTTTTGTTGGTATTGAAACACTCAGTCTCCTTTTCCCTTTGACTTGGGAACAGATTAGCCCTGACGAAGTGTTAAAAGTGATAAGAATAGATTAACAGCCCCATGAGTCCCATTACAATTATATTTAGGGGGGACATGCTTTGTATTAAGAGTGTGAACCTTTTCTGAGACTTTGGGTTTTTATCGCTCAAGTAAGGGTAGGTTTTCCTCCAGTGAAAGGCACTGGGTTGTGAAATTGACTTATGACTTGTCCTAAATTATAAGTTTCACTATAATATCCAAGCATATATATAAATAATTTTTGTTAAATCTGTTGACGCCCAGATGTTTGACTTCTTTGGACCAGAATGGAAGAGCGCAATAACATCATGACTGCAGAAACACACAAGCATGTTAGATTAAGAGATTAAAAATAAAATAAAATAGAAGCAACCTGTGCTGTGTGCCATCTGAACTAGTAGCAAACTAGTATCAAACAAATCTCAAGTAGCTTTTCCTAGCATTATGAATTGTTTCGTTATAATGAATGCAGCTTCTCCTGTTGCCAGCGTAGAAACAAAGGTTCTGCACTTGCCAATGCACTGCTTGAACTTGCATTGCATTTTGAGATCTGGGGCTTCAGTTTATTTACTCACAACCGTATAATCTGTTTGATCTTATATACAGTGAGAGATACTGATAGCATACCAGAGTAATGTTGGATGACAGAAATATGTTAAGATATTTCAGGAAGCTATTTGCTTAGCTGGTTGTATTCTAAACCACTGAGCCTCTTGGGCTTGTTGATTGGAAGGTCAGCAGTTCGAATTCGTGCAGCAGGGTGAACTCCTGTTGCTCTGTCCCAGCTTCTGCCAACCTAGCAATTCAAAAGCACACCACTGCAAGTAGATAAATAGGTACTGCTGTGGCAGGAAGGTAAATGGCGTTACCGTGCACTCTGGCACTCGTCACGGTGTCCTGTTGCGCCAGAAGCGGTTTAGTCACACGACCCAGAAAGCTGTCTGTAGACAAATGCTGGCTCCCTTGGCTGAAGCAAGATGAGCGCCACAACCCCATAGTTGCCTTTGACTGGACTTAACCGTCCAGGGGTCATTTACCTTTACCTTTGCCTATTCCCCCACCTTCACTGCTATTTATATCAGATTGAAAACTATAACCCTCTGCCCTTTTGTCTTTGCGGTCTGCAAATAATAATAATAATAATAGTTTGTGGCTGGTTAACATCAGGATCTTTAGTCAGCACAATGTAAATAAAACAAAGAACAACAATCAAGAGTGGTCCCCTTTATTCACTGGAGTTTAAGAGCCAAAGCAATATGAAGGACAAATAATTTTTATGTCATCTCTAATTAACTGCATCACTGAGTCTTCATTGTATTTTGCCAGGAAGATGTCCGTTTTTCTTTGCATACTCCTTAACAGCCGCTAATTGGAAAGACTCCTCTATCATGAGAACTTTCTGTCCTCCGTTTCATATTAGCAATGAAAGGCCAAAACTGATCCTCTCCAGTTGTCT